TTCGACTCTCCTCTAAATTATACAATACTCTCGCTACGAATATTTAACCTTTCAGACTTGTTTTGTATACACTTATAGGATACAGTTTACAGCCACACGTAACAGGTGTGTGAACTTGTCTGAAATTGATTAACCAATCGATGACGTAGGACCAAACATTTCTGGCGAGAATTTGAGTACCACGTTTGTAGTACAACATTTGCATTTTAAGTTAAAAGTAACTAAAAGACACTCCTCTCTCTTTCCCCTATTCCTGGACCTGTCCTCCTCCCTATATTAACTCTTTACAATTGTTAGCAACTCAGTGGCAATGTTAAGCTAATAGCGTTTTCGATTGGCAAAACTCGTACTGCACGAGTGTTGCACGAGAAACTGAAGAAATCCATGTGAAAATTGCTCTCAATGGAACATAAATATTCGTAAATGTTTGTTGTCATTTGTCTATAACCTCATTTTAGATTTAGGTAATCGACAAATTCTAAAAAATGACTGAAACGATTTCAGTATTATTTATGATAAACGATGAGGAAGATAAATTTGAAATTCCTTGTAAAGGACCAATTTTTGGCGTTCAGTTTAATGACTAGGATGTGGCATGTGCAACTTTTTGTAAAATAAAAGTTATGGCTATTTCACCATCTTCGCTGTCGCAAGATGACGAGAAAAAACTCTCCAATGCAAGAAACAAATTCAAATTGCCGCACGTTTGTTTTAAAAAAGCAGCTCCACGAGCTCTCGGACCTCGTGCGTCGAAATTTACACCGAGCGCGTAATTGTTGCATCACATTTGCCAGTGGAACACAGAAAATTGCCCTAAAATTACCAATAGAACGTAAAAATTGCACTCGTGCAGCACGAGTTTTGCCAATCGAAAACGCTATAAATGTCAACGTTTCGCCCATTTTCGTAAGTGGATTCAATAAAATATGTATATGTTACCGGCAAACTGCGAAAACCGGCATTTTGCGAAATGACCAATGCAGCAGGCAAAGTGAGAAATGGAACTCGACTTCGCACTTCGCTGCCTCTCTTTAGGGATTTCGCGAAATGCCTAAACATTCAGGCAAAGTGAGAATTCTCGGTTATTTTCCACAGATTGCGCGTACAGCTGTGCCAAACGTAAAACCGTCGCGTTAGTACCATCATTGAATTTATAACTATAAATTCAATGGTACCATCCCCCATTTGATGTATTCTCCACAGTAAATCCAAATCGTGACTCAACAGAAACACCATAGAAGAAATGCAGTCTAAACGTGAGCGCAATATTTAGAGAGTACTTAAATTAAATCACAATCGTCGCGTCGTTTACCATCCAATGGCAACGCTGTATGCGCAATCTGTGGGAAATGACGAAGCCTTCACACTTTGTCTGCATGTTTAGGCATTTCGCGAAATCCCTAAAGAGAGGCAGTCAAAGTGCGAACTGCAGCTCCGTTTCTTACTTTGCCTGTTGCATTCGTCATTTCGCGAAATGCCAAAATGCCGGATTTCGCAGTTTGCCGGTAACATATATAAATCTCTTAGCAATGAGCAAACGGGACCAAAACGCACTACCTTAGTAAACTGCAATGATGAAACATTGAAAAGAGAAGGCTCTGCAATAGACTGCTCACAGGCGCTTTATGTCGCCTCCCAGTTTGCATAATTATAAGGAATAAGTGATTCAAAATGTGTAATTATTATTGACTGACCCTGTCATATTTAAATTTTGTCTTTTGTCTCAGTTGGTCTAGAGCGGGTCGGACATTCACCAAATATGCGGTGTGTCGTCTCATCGTCTGTGTAACATCCTCTACAGGATGACGATCCTACCAAAACCATGCGGAGCACGTGTTTGTTTAGTTTGTAGTGCCCAGAAGGTATTGCCACGAGTAACCTCAGGTTCTTTCTTGTTGCCCCAGAAGGTATTGCCACGAGTAACCTCAGGTTCTTTCTTGTTGCCCTGTGCAAAAACGCACCAGGTTACGAGATGGTCCTTTGAAGGCTGCTCTCGCATGGCAACAATCTAACATCATGTACTACCTAGCCCTGCACTGGTTGTTCACAGTTGCAGCTGTAAGTGGAAGAGCCGGATCTGGACTATAAAGCACCTGTTTTGAGGCCAGTCGGGCTAATTAATCGGCTTTCTCATTACCTTCAATTCCAGCATGCCCTTTGCGAGCTCACTGGTGTTGCTGCTTGATACTTGTTCTAGTGCATGGTGACATTCGGAAATCGACCTATAGGTAATTTCACAGCCAAGTGTCTGCAGAGCAGCCCTGCTGTCACTGGAAATTTTGATAGTTTTGTTCTTTATGTTATGCATAAGAACTTTCCTGGCACTGAACGTTGGTCCTACCAACTCTGATTGGAATACAGTAGGAAGTTGGTTGGGTGATACGGAAATTCAGTTCTTTAGATTCATCCGTGATGATGAATATGTCTGGTTGGGATGCCACATCCTCATTAAGAAAGATGTGGTAGTTTTTCCCAAACATGAATTCAGGAGTGAGGGCCAACTGCACCGTCAAAATTAAGTATCCCTTAAAGTTAAGCATAACTTAAATACCATAGCAACGATTGTCTTAATAATCGTTGCCAGAGATTTTAAGTTCGACTTAACTTTAAGCAAGGCTTAATTTTGTTGGTGCAACTGGGGCTGAGTGAGTCCGATCGCCCTTCTAGGATGCAATTGCTGTTCTTGCATTACCTACGCTTGATTTACTCGTTTTATATAAATTCCCCTATTTCATGTATGTTTTGGGTAGTTCTAAGTACAACTGTAAGTTCTGTGGTTATCCACTTTGATTTCTTTCTCTTTATAATTGTTTGACTTGCAGCAAATTTTATGGCTCTGAAGAAGTAACAATTTGTTAAGAAATATTAGCTATGAATAAATGTAGTGCTGAATTCAGATCACGCGTAGCGCAAACCTGAGGGGCTAGCGTGGTTTATACACGCCCGACGGGTCCCTAACGGAAATGGATAAATACGTGGCGCTCCACCGAGAGCTGACAGCAGTTTGTCCCTTGGTCAGCGTAGCATCATGTTTCAGTCAGAGATGCAACCATCAGCTGTGCAGAGGAGAACCTCTGTAGAGGTTACCGCAATAAGCATATATGCATATACATTGACAGTCAGGTGGCGCTGAGGGTCCTGTCAGCAAACACGTTTCGATCGGCTACGGCGCTTGATTGCAGGCGAACTGTAGATATAAATGTAGATAAATAAAGTAAGCTTGATCTGTGTGCCAGCGCCCTACGGAATAGTGCATAAAGAAAGGCCGCTGTCTCGCGAAGTCAGTAGTGGGGTCTTTGTCGGACCGGAGCCTACCCTAGGAATTGCTCCCCCTGTTGTCAGTACCAGGATTAAAGACGGTGCGACTAGTCAATTCCAGGCTCCGTGGTAACAAGCAACTGGTCACAGTCCAGGGCCCCTTGGTAAATTTTTTAAAACTGAATAGAAGCCTGATTACACAGATGACCGGTATTCTCACGGGGCACTGGATGGCCAACTACCACATGCACAACATTGGGCTGACGACCCCACGTTCTGTGGCGGGGCAGATGAAACTACTGTCACGGTGACACCTTGATCGGAGACAGGCTTCAGATCATTGGCAACAGTTATCTGAAACCGGGGAGGGTGATCTTAGCTAAACAGGGTCATATCCTTAATTGAGAGGAGCGGGCGTTGCAAAAGAAAGGGGATAGGCATAATGGGCCTGGTCGCGCTCCCCTTAAGACTAGAAATGGATAAAAGGAGGGAACGAGAAAGGGAGTAGACGAGAACACCTTCCGACCCAACGGGATTACGCACAATTAAGAACCGCTACAATCCTCAAGGTCACTTTACTACTATTTCTGCTCACATTAGCTCGTCAACTAATAACATTGATACCTACCTACAATTTAACTTGGATTGCTGCCCTAATTTAAATCTATGGAATTGTTTAAAACTCACTTCATATGCAACAACAAAGTGAATTGGTAATTTCCGGAAAAATGCCCAAATTGTCATACATTTAATGCTCGTCAAAAACGTATGAAATGCACAGTTTAGGAGATATAGAGCAAAATCTGAACCAAGTCCGAAAATTTCGTTGTTTTTGTGTGCTACGCTTTTTGCACAACTCAGAGGGTTGCAAACTTGAGTATACACTACCTTAGTGGGTCCAAACAACATAGGTACTAAAAAATCAGGGAATCTTTCATTCTATAGGTAGATATCCTTCTGTCAATCGCATACTTACAAAATATGACACAATCCCAAGATAGATACTTAAGAAATGGTGGTTATTTGGACATTATAAAGATTAGAAATGGTTTAACCCTACTTTTAGTATTGGTTCACGTTAGTTAATGATCAAATTTTAGAGGTGAGTTTCCTATAGTAACTTTAATTGTTTGTGACTACAGCTCGTTTCTAACCGGGTTCGGATTTATATTGATTACAGAGGATTTTTAAGGGAATTCGGCGATCTAAAACACTGCACAGTTTATGTAGGGGTATATGTGCAACCCAACCTTCAAATTGGAATTAACATATACAGATACGTTTGATTACGAACTCAAAAAGGCTACCTATCAAAGCCAGCCTTTCACTAAATAAAAGTGTCCAAAGAAACAGTTTAATCTGTTTTTGTTTGAGCATGGCTCAACGTCTCCTTTCTATGGTTTTTCTTAGATAGCATGAAGATGTTAGTACCCTGCTCATTTAGCAACAAAAACGTTTTCTAGAAATATTTACAGGCCGTATGATTATGCTTCTGACGGTAAATCTAGTTATCATATATACTATGCTAGTAATGGATATAAGAAGTCTGACAATTAAAATGTCCGGAAAAGCAATTAGTAATAACTAAAATAAGTAACGTCCTCTTACAGAAAGTAATTTTAAGTTGTTTGCGTTCGCTGTCTTTAGGTGTGGGTTAAGTGGAAAAACGGTTTACGGTACGGTTGTTGACATTTTACGTACCTAATGTATATGATATGTCCAAAAATTTGAAAGAGCAACGTAATGATATTCCGGAGAAGTAGGAGTATCATACTCATTTTCCTATTCAACTATAACCTAAGTAGTGTTAACGTTTTGCAAGGATAAAACACATGTATCGTATTTTCATAAAACTGAAACAGAGAAATGAGTTTATACGAACTGTAACAACCTAATAAAGTACACACGGTTTTAACAAGATTTAATCATAGATCGTCCATAACCTTTAAAAAAGAAACTGTTATCGGCAGTGTTCAATCCACAGTAATGTTATTTCAATCGGCTGACTTAATTAAGCGCTAGGCAAAAGCGAATAACCAAGCTACGGGACTCGATGGTGTTTCCTCTATCCGAAACACGACACTGCCCTAACACTTGGCCGATTCTGTTCAATACTTTACAGTTTGACCTGCACAGTAAAAAATATTGCGGTGTGATCGTACACACCAACGTTTAGTGATGATTTGGTGTGAAATTCTACAACAAATAGTGTTCAATTTTACACCATTTCCATATGAAAATAGGTGTAGTTAATTTTAACCAAATTGAAGTGTAGTTCAGCACTATTGAGATTAAACCACAACCATGCAAATCGCGCTTGCACCGCAAAGAGTTAAATTTCTCAAAACAGAGTGCAACAACACCATACATATAAGATTTCACTTACCATGGAGTGCATTCAACGACAAGCGTAAGCATTTATGGCAGGTTTGTTATTTTGTTGCCAGTCCAATTATTAATAGCGTGCCGTGAGAGTTAATCACTTACAGAATTTTTTACTCTTATGCTTATACCAATTAAAGAATTATCTTACCTATTGATTACTCTGCATATAGTGTGTGAATATGTTTGTTAAAATCGAGTTTAACAACAATTTGAAGTGGATTTCCGTTAACGTAGACGAGGCAACATATCAAACTTTTATTTTGCAAGGTAAGTGCATTCTGAATTATAAAAATTTTAGCACTACTGTTCTAGCATTGAACAAATTGTGGCAGATTCAACACAATGATTAATATCTATAGGTATTGATAGTAGGTTATTGTTTCATTTTTAGCTCGGATTTACTTTTTACACGTTTAAGCGTTACTTTTGTAAAATTGGGTATTTTCCAATGAAACTCATGAGTCAAGATAGGGATAGGTATGTAAGGGTGGATAGGGTCTAGGGAAGTTGAACATAAAGGTACAGTCGACTGGGTTACTACCTATACAGACCTTTATCTTAAAAGTAATTACAAAGGAGAATTCAGTTCCACCTGCACCTGTCCGCCCTCGCAAAGTTATCTTTAGCGCGCTTCGATTAGTGGTACCATTGAGTAACTAAATCCTTTACTCAATGGTGCTACGAAGTACGTAGTTATCTTAAAAAGTACTGGCACATCAAACTTACACATCTTCACTCCATTTTAGCTATGCAAAAGTTCAATATCAATGATGTGGATCCGAATGATGTGATACTGTGTGACACATCTGGATGCCAGATTGAAAACGATGATTTTGTCGATTTCTTAAAAGGAGTAGAAAAGGGTTTTATATTTCGCATTGTAAATACTCGAATAAATACTGGTGCTGATGCCAATCCCTCTGCTCCAAGTATTTCCAGTTCCAGCTCGACGATTTCAGAGTCGACTACAATAACTTTGAGTAGTGAAGATATAGTTACTATCAACGATTTGCAAGGATTTATTGTACCAACCTCGGTACCAAGTAGTTTTGATAAAGAGGTAACTGAAAAAATAGTGCTTCTAACGACTTTATTCATGCACAAATGTCCAAGATATCCTAATGCATAATTTGTTCAATAACTTCCCTTTTTTTTCCATTTGGTGCAATATTTTTTATTGGTAGTTACCTACCTACAATAGAAACCTTAAAAAGTGTAAATTATACCCAATAGTTGCGTAAAAAAATATTTCTTCTTGTTGATATCTAATGGTCAAGCTGCATGGAAATCTCCAAATACTATACAGGGTGGTGTTTTTAAGTGGACCATTAGAAGTATCTCAGGAACGGTTTGGAATTTCGATTGAACCCATTATCTTTTTTGAATAATTGATTAAAAGGAATCATTTAAAAATATTTTCAAGATGGCCGCTTTTCCAGTTGTACCCGAACGATACCGAACTTTCTTATTTCAAACGGCACTATCTTTTCTGATGGCATTTTCAAATTTCTTATAAAAAATCATGACTTTGTCAGTATGATGGTATGTCTAACTGGCATGGTTTTGAAGTTATTTGACATTTTTTCACTGTTTCAGAGGTTCAGTAAATTAGCCATATCACTGTTGTCTGACAACTTAGGAAATAGCTTTTATTATCACCAATCGCCAGCTAAAAGTTCAGGCTATCAAATGTTATTGGTCGGATTTTCAAGTGCGAATCGAAAATAATATGAATAAGAGTTCAAATAGACAATCGGTTTATCGTCAAAAACTCGATATTTTCAGTAGTAATAGCATAAGGGCATCTAATTTTTCCGAAAAAATCGAAAAAACACGCTGCTAAGTAATATTTTAACAAGAAGCATGCTGGTGGCAACAAAAATCCGAGTCGAAGACGAGGATTTTTGCAGCTGCACGAATGCATTTTGTTAACAAAATATTACTTTGCATTGTGTTTTTTCAATTTTTTACACAGCAAAAATTTGATGCCCGAATGGTATTTGACAAGACTATTTCATCAGTAATGTCAAAGGTAATGTAATTTTTGGTGACAACAGCTGTCAAGTTTTGCCGCGGGTAATCTCGAAAAAACTACTGACAGGTGCTGTCATTCGGTTTTTCCATCTAGAAACCATGTGCAATTCAAAATTGCGCGTTTGTGATTGGTCGAAAGTAAGACGAGAGAAATAGTCAAATGGAAACCATATCTTTATTATGCAGCAATGGAAAGACCATTAAAAAAACAGACAAAAAATGTATAGACGTCACCGATTCAGTTGTTTCATTTTGATTCGTGTACTGTTTTGTTGAATTTTCATAAAATGAGTAATTATGACGTCTTTATGACACTCAAATGTTCAACTGTTTTGAGTGATTTTATTGATGACATCTAGATTTATGAGGTGGATAGAATGAAGTTCTGATTTTGCTATTTGAAAATTTTTTATTTTTGACGAATAAATTGAAAACTGACCACTTTAGAAAAATTTTGCAAATACATTTTTTGTCCGCTTTTTTATGGTCTTTCCATTGATGCATAATAAAGTTTCCATTTGAAAATATCGAGTTTTTGACGATAAACCGATTGTCTACTTTGAACTCTTGTTCGCATTATTTTCGATTCGCATTTGAAAATCCGACCAATAACATTTGATAGCCTGAACTTTTAGCTGTCGATTGGTGATAAAAGCATTTTGCTAAGTTGTCAGACAACAGTGATATGGCTAATTTACGGAACCTCTGAAACACTGAAAAAATATCAAATAACTTCAAAACCATGCCAGTTAGACATACCATCATATTGACAAAGTCATTCTGATTTTTTATGAGGAATTATGAGATAGTGCCAATTGAAATAAGAAAGTTCCGGTATCGTTCGGGTACAACCCGAAAACCGGCCATCTTGAAAATATTTTAAAATGATTCCTTTTGATCGATTATTCAAAAAAGATAATGGGTCGAATCGAAATTCCAAACCGTTCCTGAGATACTTCTAATGGTCCACTTAAAAACACCACCCTGTAAATACTATTTTGCGAGCTATTTTGTTATTTAACATTATTCATTTCAGGCCTTGCAAAACTTATTAATTCGCGTAGGAGCTACACAGATTATCACAGAATATGAAACAAAGAAACTTTTAACAAGAGGAAACCGAAGATTGTTAGTGAACGTGATTGTGTTAGATATGATAGAAAAATACGGCCAACAACCTTTAAAATATATAAAGACTATGTATGCTAAAGCTATTATCGACCTCTTCCCGAATTTGAGAGATCCATGCAGCAAATATGGCTATGTCAGTTGAAATCTATGATTTTGCTTTTTGCATGCTATTGCTATCTAAATTACTTATTGTAAAAAATATAAATAACTTCCAATTTTCTTATAGGAAGCATTTTATAACCCCGACGAGCGATCTGGGTACATAGATTGGCGTTTGAGAACTGTCAGAAGATCTTCAAAAGAAAACAGGCCAGAAATACCACAGAAAAAACCAAAACTGAATGTTGAAGAGATAAACCTTGATAATTTCCAAGAGGACATTGACTATTTAAAACACACCCATCCTAAAGATCCGGACCTAATAGAGAAGTTCAAAGCGACATTTTTGGCTAGACGAAAACTTTGCAACGAGACTAACATCTTTCAAGAATTTCCTAGGTTTTTAGACACTCCTGGACTGGTTAGTATTATATATCAATATGTTTGATAAATGCCCACTGTACTAACACCCTTTGTATCTGAAATAATTCTCGATTAATTTTTTAGATATCTTTGGATTTTGGATTGCTGTATCCCAACAATGACTGCATTAATCTGGAGTTGCAAATTTTGAATATATCGGAAAAAGTTAAAAATATTTATTGCAATGAGATAAACTCCGACAATGAATACCTAAATCAATTTGACGTCACAACTAAAACTTTGTTTATGTTGATCAAGTTGTTGCCAGCTACATCCAAGGGACGCAAAAAGGCGGTGAACAGGGAATCACTGCCAGAAATTAGTAAAAGGCTTATTGTATTTAAAAAGGTAAAGAACTAAGCAACCCTTTTCTTTGTTACGCTTACATTATTAATTTTTAGAACAGTGAATCACTCGAGGAAATAATTACTGCCAAAAAAACTAATCAACCTTTTTTAATCGCTTCTGGATCTTCAGAGAAAGCGGTAGATTACTACACTATATCGGTAGATAATAAGGTACTTGCGGTGGAAAGCATTACTAATTCTGGGCAAGCTTTTGACCTCCTTTTTAAATCGTTTTTCGTTTTTAATTTAACTTATGACCCTACACTAGAAATTTTCTATAAATTCATTCAAGTGTTTTTTTACGGTATAGACGATATTAAAATCACGCCCAATATTAGAGAATTGCGATCAAAACTATTAGCGCAATAATAAATCTCGCCTTATAAGCAAATGCTAGTTTATTTGATTTTTGATTTACTTATTCCAGTACAATGCTGGTTTGTTTTAAATGTGCCAGTAATTTTGAATCTTTTCAATTATTGTCAAAGCATTTAAGAAAACAACACTGTCTCTATGAAAATTTAACAAATTTTGAACTGATTTGCACTAAGTGCAAATTAAAGTTCTATACCTACTGCGGTTATAAACGTCACACTCTTAATTGTGTTGTAAGTTCTGATAATTTGACAGAAGTTTTCGATACTGTAACCCAAGTTAATGATAATGTACAAGTTCCTCTTGTACTACCTGCCGGAGTTGAACAACTGCAAGATGATATACATACTGCTAAATGTGAAACTAATAGTAACGTTACTGAAATATTTGACAATACTGCATCGAACTTTGATTTTAAAGAATATTTGTTGGCATATACTACAAAGTTACACTCTTTGGGGATTCCAGAAACAACCATACAGATTATTTTTCAATCCACACAATTTTTAATTGAAAATGTTGTTGATAATATTATTGGAGAAACCAACGCTTATTCAAACAGTAACAACTCTTTACAATTATTAGATAATTTACAAAACCGAAGTGCAGCAATAAAGAAAGACATTGAATTGTTAAATACTTCTTACAAACGTAACAAATTAATTCATAAATCATTAGTCTTACCCAAACAAGTTACAATAGGCATACGTAGAGATCAAGTATTTGATAAATCTAGTCAGCAGTATATTGAGAAAAATGTAACCAGTACATTTTCTTATGTACCTATTCTATCAACGTTAACATCTCTTTTAACTTGTGAGCAATATTTTAATTTATTTGAACAACACTCTACTAATTTAACGAGTAACGACGTGTACATAAATGATATTAAAGACGGTGTTTACATTAAAAATCATAATTTTTTTAAAAACCCTTGTAATCTCAGAATAATACTATATTATGACGATTTCGAAACAACGAATCCTCTGGGCAGTAAAACTGGAGCTCATAAAATTGGGGCTTTTTACTTCAGCATAACCAACATACCAAGTTATTTAAATTCTCAGCTATCTCACATACATCTTCTTGCATTGTGTTATTCATCAGACATTAAGCAGTTTGGAATAAATGCTATTTTAGAACCTATTGTCAACGATATTAAAGTTTTAGAAACTCAAGGTATTTTTATCGAACCTCAGAATAAAACAATTTTTGGCTCGGTTGTTGCTTTATCACACGATAATCTAGGTGGTAATGTATTATTGGGAATGGTTGAGAGCTTTTCAGCCAACAATTTTTGCCGAATTTGTACTGCTGATAAAAAGACTTGCCAATCATTAACACGAGAAGATGTTTCTTTACTACGGAACATGAATAATTATGAGCTTCATTGTAATCAAGCTAAAGATGAAAAGCAAGTACTTGGCGTTAAATGTCGTAGTGGGTTATGTGACTTAAAATATTTTAATATTTTTGATTCTGCTTCAGTGGATCCAATGCACGATATCCTAGAAGGCATTGCTCCTTACGAAATTAAAATATTCTTAAAGCTATTGGTTGATAAAAAACTAGCAACTATACGTGATATTAATTCGAGGTTACAAGCATTTCCCTTTGGTAAAACAGATAGGAATAATAAACCAAGTCCAATAATATTAGATAAACCAGGGCATTTAATTGGACAACGAGCTGCCCAAACGTGGTGCTTAATCAGATTTATTCCAATAATATTAGAAGATCTATTAGATGACGATTTAAAAGCAAAATTTTATTTAATTTCTTCCATAATATCAATAACACAAATTGCTCTTTCACCACGCATAACTAAACTAGAACTAGAAAAGCTAGAACGCCTTATTGAAAATCATCTTAAATTCTTTGATAATAACTTTGATGAACGCAGACTACCCAAACATCATATGCTTCTTCATTACTGTCGGATTATGAAATCATTAGGTCCATTAGTTAATCTATGGACTATGAGATTTGAGGCGAAACATGGATATTTCAAAAATTTGGTACCCAAACTAAAAAATTTTACGGCTATTTGCAATACGTTGTCACATAAGCATCAAATAAATATGAGCCATCAGTGGAATAATAAAATTATGGAACCCCATATGGAGTACGGGCCTATGATAAACATTCTTGTTCAAAGCACAATTTATAAATCGTTGTTTCCTAACCAAAAAAATATTGGTGTACTAAAGTGGTTGTCTTTTGGTGGCTTTTTTTTATAAATCAGGCTATTTCATATGTAGGGGAATGAAGGCCGCCCTCCCTGAGTTTTCCCTTATTGTTGATCTTATTCTATCAGATGGAACTCCATATTTAGTGGCGAAACCGTGGAAAACACGACAATATGATGAAGTAAAATGTGTTTACATTATCGAAAATTTAGAATCTGAATGTTTTCTTTTAAAAATAGAAAATTTAACTTATAAAGAACCCTTTGAAAAGTATTTATTACGTTCTAAATTAACAACTTGGTGTATTGTTCCAAAGTATAAATTTTGTTAAATTTTCATATTATACGTAATACGGGTATGATATACTTATAACTATGTTACCTTCATTTACAATAATATTTTTTATACTTCTTGACTTAGCATTAAGTGTATTTTGTCTTGAAATTCAAAATAATGTATAAGTTATTAATATTAGGTATAGAATTTAGAATTAGGTACCTACAGAAGTAGATATATCTTTTTTGATAAGCTCTTTTTGAAGTTGAAATAAGTTAGGTATAGCTGTTGTACCTACTCATTATGAAATAATGTATAGGCTCTGCACCTAGTATGTAGTACAACTTACCTCTAGGTTTAACCCTTATGTCCACGGTGGGGTACCCGGGTAATTTTTTTAACTATTCATTTAAAATTTCTGATTTTGGTGGCGAATTTATGGCTGATGCTTCAGATATGCCCAGAACATAGTTAATGCAAGTTATTTATTTGAAACTATAATTTGTTTTTACATAAAAATACAACAAAAAAATATTTACTTACAAATAACTTAATGTCAATTCTGGGGTTACCCAGGTAACTACAACGGAATATCATCGGTGATTGGGAAAAAAACTCGTATAAAGTATGTTCTTGTTAGAGATAATTTGAAATATGCAAATTTAGTGTGTTGTAAACAAAACTGAATGTTACTACTCACAGAACTGACACTTTGTAACAGTGATACAGTGTTCATCACACACTGGGCGATTGCAACTTCCGCAACATTTTCTTGTCTTCCTTTTTCTTTTGTTTGCTTGCTGTAAACAATCGAAGCAATTTCCAAGAATGGGAAGACAAATGGCCGACAACGACTAACGCTTAAGTGCTAAACATATGCATAATAGAAAGCCGTGTTTGCGCTAAAACGAATTGGTACCCGGGTAACCCCACTATAGACAACGGTAAATATTTTTTGTCATAGACACAAGGGTTAAGATACTTAGAACTGCTGTGTAACGTTTCTTTTGAATAGATGTTCTTAAACATTTCTTAGTACCTATATATTTGAATTTTCCATTCTTCGGTCTGCAGAGTTAAATTGACACCAAACGGTGAAAACCCATTATCAATCATTTACACCTTCCATGTGAATTAATCATTTATACAAGTTGAAAAGACACAGTAACGCGGTGATATTAAATCTGTTTTGGAGTAAAAATTGACTTCCAATATTGGTTAATAATCACCAAAATCAGATAATGACCTCACCACTTACGATTGAAAGTGACAACACATTGTGTAATTGCTACACCATCATAATGTCAAGTTACTCTACGGCTTAATTAAAGTCACTAACTTACATGGTCAAGTGACACTGAAATGGAGTTATATATTATCCTGGATTTTATCCGATTGGTGTGAAGTTCTCAATAGATCAGAGTAGATTTTAACACAACAATAAAGTGGAAAAATGACTCTGTAATGTGTTACAAAGTCAACACCGTGCACATGGTGTAAAGCTAACACCAAAGTACATGTATGGATATGGACACGGAGTAAGAGTAGTTTGGTGTAGTATGGTGTGACTATATTTTATACTGTGT